AAATATGGTAGAGAACATCTGAATGAGGATCAATGAAGGAAAAAACAGAACAGTCATTATCATGAAAGCATTCGACATTGCCTGAAGAGTAGAAGGAAATAGCTATTTAGTTTGGGAAATGGATCAGATCTGAAACAAATGATGAATGGAGCATTTTAACTATTAGGACATGTGCTGGACCTTTCTACCAAAAGCACTGCAGCTAATTAATTCTTGCCTGGATTTAACTTAAAAAGATGGAAGAACCAATGAGAGACACTTTGCTGAAGCAGAAATCATAAAAACCTTGGAGAGATATTACCCCTCTACCTTGAAATTTGGATAAAGGTGAGAAAATCTGGGAATAGACTTATGTATATCCTAAATTTGAGGGAAATACATTTCAAAGAAATTAAAAGAAAGGATCAATAGTATCTCATGGTGCAAAATGCGATGGAGCAAGCCAGCCAGGTGGAAAGCTCACAATTATGTCAATGCAAAAGAAATAATTCTGATGAGAATGAAAAAGGCAAACTATCCAAAGAGACTTACGTGAAAGCACATAAAACAATCAGCTTGGATTTTTAAAAGATATGTACTGAAAATGGAAACAAATGAACATAATGGGAAAACAACAAAAACTGGCACAACTCTTAGAGGAGTAACTTAAAGAGCACTTATGGGGGTGAGTGATGACTTCTAAAATCAACAAAAAGAGTTCTTTTTTTGGATGGGGGGATGACTAATGGAGGACAATGAGAAGGAAAAGCCAATTGCTTTTGTTTACTCTGTCAAGTAAAATTATCTTTAGCCTGCAAAGGACAGAACATAAGTAGTTAGCAGGCAGTTACAAACCAAAATAAGGAAATAACGAGAGAATTTAGATGACTTTCATAAGTCCAGACAAATTACATCCAAGAGTAGCATAAAACTGGGAAGCATTATTGATGAGTTGCTATGAGGGATATCTGAAAGATCACTGAGAATGGGACAGATGCCAACAGACTAGAGATGGGCAAATATTGTCGTGTTTTTTCAAAAAGGGAAGAAAGTGAACTTCAAATTCTAAAATGTATTACTAAAGGGCCAGTTTGTGAATATTTCAAAAGGAAGTAGCAATAACATAGGCAGCATAGATTCATCAAGAAAAAATCCTACCAATCTCACCTTTTTTCTTTATTTTTTTTTGACAAGAATATTAAACTATGTTAGGTAAATGACTTAGTTTTCCCGAGCTAGATGATAGTATAGTCAAGTGGACAA